GACACATACATATATGCTGCCTAGAACTGGCAAGTGCTAATTTTTGTCATATATACTTCATATTTCTAAAAAAAAAAACAGAAAGGAACACTTGATGATATAATAAAGATTTAAAAAAAAAAAAAAAGAACTTAGGGTCTGGCACTGTCCCTTAGCTTTTTCCCTCAAGGTAGTGCTCTACCACTTGAGCCACGCCTCCACTTATAGCATTTGCTAGTTAATTGGAGTTGCGTCTTAGGGACGTTCCTTTCCGGGCTGGCTCTGAACTGCAATGCTCAGCTCTCAGCCTCCTGACAGGCGAGAGCCGCCAGCGCCGCCCTCCCTCCTTCTCTGAAGTTTCGGTGTTGAGTGTGCGGGCTCAGTGACCAGGAGTATACTGGATGGAGGCAGCTGTACCCACACTCTCCTGTGTTCTAGGAAAAGGTTAAAAAAAAGAGGCCAACAAATTGGGAACTATTCAGGGTCCAGCTGAATGCTTAGGCAATTTCTCTCCCAATTGCACCAGTGTGAAAGCAGAAGCGAGAGGAAGCTGTAGACTTGAGAATAAAACAAGCTTTAGGAGGAGACAGTGTAAGACTGGGTTAGCAATCCCCAGCGATGTAATAGGTTGGGAGTTTTGTGGAATAAAATGGTATATTCTAGAGTTAAGTGAGAATGTGGTTCTACATAAACCAAAAGTTCCATCCCACAGCTCAGTGCTGAGCACCGTCCCCTGTTGCCGCCACCAGAGCTACAAGATCAACCTGCCCCCACAACCTGTCATTTCACTGGGTTAGACTTTGCTCAATCAACAATGTTACAGTAGCATTTCTAGAAATTTCTCAGCCAGTGACTCACACCTGTCATCCTAACTACTTAGGAGGCTGAGATCTGAGGATTACAGTTCAAAGCCAGCCAGGGCAGGAAAGTCCAAGACTCCAAAATTAACCACCAAAAAGCCTGCAGTGAAGGTATGGCTCAAGCAGTAGATGCCAATCTTGAGGGGGAAAAAAAGCACAGGGAACAATGCCTGGGCCCTGAGTTCAAGCCCCAGTACCAACAGCAAAACAAAAAAACAAAAAAAACAAGATCATAAATACTAGATCAGATTGATTTCATTCAGAACCTCATTCATTTCAGTTCAACCCAGCTGTGATGCAGGACAAAAGATTTTAAATTGCAATCAGGTTCCTGGATGGAAGGAGGTCACTACAAGGCTCACGTAGCCCAATGAGTGAGAATGAAGAAGCAGATTTTGACTTGTCTAGAAAGTCGCTCGTCTTGCTCAAGCACTCTGGCTAAGTCTTGTACAAGACACACATTTCTGGTTCTAAGAAAATGCGGAACTGTTTCTGCGTAAAACTGGATACCAGGCAGGTACCGGTAGCTCACATCTGTAATTCCAGCTATGCAGGAGGCTGAGATCTAAGGATGACAGATCAAAGTCAGCCTGGGCAGGACTATCTGTGAGACTCATCTCCAATGAACCGCCAAAAAGCTGAAAGTGGAGGTGTGGCTCAAGGGCTAGAGCATCAGCCTTGAAAAACGCTAAGAGAAAGCACTCAGGCCCTGAGTTCAAGCCTCAGTACTTGCACCAAAAACAGGAAGAAAAAAAGAACTGAGGGTAATGATGTTAGGATTTTCCATACAAGAAAAAACAATGGTTTTTCAATGTCTTAGAAGCACACGCTCCCTTCTCCCAGATCCAAGCTGACAAGTGTGGGCCAGGCCAGGCAGGGGCAGGTGCATCTGAGGACTCTGGGAGGAATTGTGCAGGATTCTCTTCTTGGACACCTGAGGGGCCTTAGCATTGTCCCTATGTGAATGGGCTGTGGCTCCATGTCCTCCACAAGCAGCAGCAGCAACATCTGCCTCTCTCTCTGTCTGTCTGGCTCAGTTTCCGCTCTCTCTCCTTCATGACTTCCCACATAGCAGCAATCAGCAAAGTACTTGGCCTTCCATTCTGTGTCACTAAACTCCATGAGGATTAACTCACTTTGCAACTGGCTGACATTTTTCTGGAAGGTCTTTCTTTGTTTCCACATGACCGTGTTTAGGTGAAGTCTGGCTGAGTGGCTTTTGTCAGTGCACTGACAAAATGAAGACGGATTTTGGAAACCAGCACTGCTTCATACCGCCACCCCTCATCAGTGCCAGAGTTTGCCACTGGATTGATCCATTGATTTGAGTCACAGGGCCCCGGGGCTTGGAACTTGAGGTTGAACTTGATCTTGAAGGGGTAAAGGTCAGGGACCCATCCATGTCTCCTAGAGACTTGAAGGAAAGGGGAAGGAGACAGTCCTGGAATAAAGAAGCCCACTTTCATTCTCATTGCTTTTGTTTTGTACAGGTCCTAGAGCTTGGACTCAGGGCCTGGGCACTGTCTCTGGGCTTTTTGGCTCAAGGCTGGTGCTCTACCACTTGAGCCATAGCTCCACTTCTGGCTTTTTGCTGGTTCATTGGAGATAAAGAGTCTCGTGGATTTTTTTCTACTCTGGCTGGCTTTCAACTGTGAGCCTCAAGATCTCAATCCACTGATAGCTAGGATGACAGGCATGAGCCACCGTGCCCAGCTGGTTCTCTAGCTGAACAAAAAGCACTTTGTTCAACATTCACTTTAAATTCTTAGAAAAAGCTTTGGAATAGAATCTTGTCTTAGTTTTTAAGCCAGGAGGAAGAGGGGGAGGAGGGGGAGGGGGAGGAGGAGGAGGAGGAGGAGTCTGCACATGCACCGGGCAGGGCCTTCAATCTACTTTGTGCTGCCCACAGCCTAGCCTGCGGCCGCCACGTCACCCATGCCTCCAGGCAATGCATGAGAGAGGCATGTCACTTTTATTTAGGGGGGAGGGGGACGAGAAGGGGGAAGGCTAGTCCTGGGGCTTGAACTCTGGGCCTGGGCGCTGTACCTGAGCTCTTCAGCTCAAGGCTAGTGCTCTACCACTTAAGCCACAGCACCACTTCCAGCTTTTTTTTTTTTTTATGACTCATTGAAGTCTCATGGACTTTCCTGCCTGAGCTGGCTTTGAACTGTGATTCTCAGATCTCAGCCTCCTGAGTAGCTAGGATGACAGGTGTGCACCACCAGCGCCTGGCTAAAGAATGTTTTTGTGTTTTTTTTTCATGCAATTTGTCCGTGCTTTCCAGTGCTGGGAGGGGAGGGGAAGGTGCACACCCATTTCCTGTCCCATCTACACCTGTTTGATTCTCAGCTGTGGATAAGTGGTTTTCTCCCATCTCCTCCTCCTTCCCCCTCTGCCATTACTGGGGTTTTGAATTCAGAGCCTGGGCACTGTCCCTGAGTTGTTGGGGGGGGGGGGGGTGTTTGGGTTTTTGTTTTGCTCAAGACTGTGACTCTACCACAAGAGCCACAACTCCATTTCTGGACTTTTTGTGGTAGTTTACTGGAGACAGGAGTCTCACAAACATTGTCTGCCTGGGCTGGTTTTGAACCACAATCCTCCTATCTCAGCCTCCTGAGTAGCTAGGATGACAGATGTGAGCCATTAACACCACACTGTCCTTTTCCATTCTGTTTTGTGATGAGACATGCCTGAAACGCACTCAGCACAGGGCCGAGACCCGAGGGGGCCAAGGGAGGCCGCAGCAGTGCTAGCCCTCAGGAGGAGCTGCCGCCCTGGCCACGCCCTCACCAGGGGTCTGGGCCTCCCTGGCCTTCCTGTGCCTCTGAGCATCAGGTTGTATTGTTTGGCAACACAAAAGCATGGAAGAGCTGCCTTGGGCTTAGGCCAGGCTGTGCCCTATACAGGATAAGCTAGCAGAGTGGCCGACATCCCTAGGTCCAGTCCAGTGCCACGGTCCAGGCTGCTTCCAGCACCCTGGCTGGTGGTGCGCATGCACCACCTGCAGTGCTGTGCCAGCCATGGCACCCTGGCATCTTCATCGACCACACACAGGGTGACTTGCTGACAATGGAAATTGACTTCTGGTCGTTCTAGGAAGTCAGAGGTGAACTGGGGGTCTGGTGAACTGGGGGTCTGGTCTGGGTGTGCGTACCAGGCTACAGAGCGCCTTCCTGCCATGTTCTCCCGCGAGAGGGGCCAGGGCTGCTCCAGGGTCTGTGTGGGGTTTTGTAAGCTTTAGAATTGTTTTAAATTATCTTTCAGGGCCGCTGTGCACAGGGTTTCAATTCAGCATGAGTTGATGAGCACAGAGCATCTCACTCTACCGTCGGCTCTTCCCCAAGTCACAGGGCTCCATCTTCACACATGCACATAGACTATGACCAGCGCTCTGCCCCTCCTCTCTTCTGCCTCCCTCCCAACCGTCATTCACACTGCTCATTCACCAGTAGATGACAGTGTGTTACATGCACACGGCCTTGTATGTCCTTGCAATTTATTTAGATCTGTCAACATGAAAGAAACACGTGCCTTTGTCTCTCAGCCTGACATATATCACATTGACGTTTTTCCAGATCCACCCATTTACCAGCAAATGGCATTATTTTTCCAGATGGATGATCAGGTACATGTGTACATATGAAACAATATATATAAAAACCAAGGTAGACATTGCTGGGTATCCACAATTAGTTTTTATTAGCCACCAGTACAAGGAGACACATCTAAGCCAGGAAGGCCAGACCCTGGTCCCTGAGTGGCTCACTGGGCTGCTCCTGGGGAGGGCCTGTTCCCATAGCAACCGAGTCCAGTGGGAGGAGCTCCATGCTTCCCTACCTGCCCCAATGCTCCACATCCTGGAGCAGAGGAGGAATCATGTGGCCCCGGGACCCCAAGGATCTGTTCTTCCTACCCAGGCCACTGGCCATCGGCCTCCCCATGGCTACTCCTCTGCCAACTGCTAATATTTCCGTGTGTGTGTGTGTGTGCACACGCACGTGTGCATGCCATGTGCACACCTATACTGGGGCTTGAACACAGGGCCTCATGCTCTTGCTTGGCTTTTTTTAAATCAAGGCAGGGGCTATACCACTTGAGCCACACCTCCACTTCTGGCTTTTTGCTGGGTAATTGGGAGATTAGAGTCTCATGGACTTTTCTGCAGGGGCTGGCTTTGAACCATGATCCTCAGATCTCAGCTGAGTGGCTGGGATTACAGGTGTGAGTTCCAGCCCCAGCTTACGGCTGTCTTTGTGGTCGATGTTGCAGACATAATGTAATCAGATGCCTGAAGGCGAGTGGGGTGCAAGGGCCAGACGTGTGTGTGGACTGCCAGTGCTCTTCTGGGTCACACACCAGCCCTGGCGGTGGGAGGATGCAGGGCACAGGGGCTCTGGCACAGAGCCGCCAGCTACGAGTGGACTGCCTTGTGGATGGGTCGTTTTTCTGTGAAGAAACTTTTGAGCAGCAGGACCTGACTGAAGCTGACCACAAACAGGGCAATGGTCTCGCCGACTGACCAGTAAGAGACGCGGCTGTTCAGGTCCTCAGCCCGGGCCCGGTCCTGGGCCTCGCGCAGGCGGTAATGGGTCTGGGAGTCGATAACCGTCTTCAGGGCCTCGTGAATGGTGACACACGCTGACTCCATCTGTACGGAGGACAGGCGCAGTCACAGTGCTCAGAGACAGGCAGGGCAGAGCCCAGCAAGCCACCCACATGCTGGTCCATCCTGCAGGTGCTACTTGGGGCACCCTACTAATGCAGAACCTGCTCTGATTTAATCCTTGAGGTAACCATGCAAAAGGAAGGGCAAAACACTGGCTTAACCACACAGGAAGGAGGACACAGATTCCGAAATGGACTCAAAGCCTGGGGCCTGTCATCCTAGCTACTCAAGAGGCTGAGATCTGAAGATGGAGGTTTGAAATCAGCCCAGGCAAGGAAGTCCGTGAGACTCTTATCTCCAGTGAACCACCAGAAAACTAGAAGCAGAGCTGTGGCTCAAAGTAGAACACTAGCATTGAGCAAGAGTTCAGGGACAGCACCCAGGCCCCGAGTTCAAGCCCCATCACACACACACACAGACACACACACACACAGACACACACACACACACAGACACACACACACACACACACACACACACACACACACACACACGGACACGGACACGGACACGGACACGGACAAGTAATCGCAAGAACCAATTTTCCTGACATCAGAAAACTGATCTCTAAGGGGACCTTCACATGCCAGCTTGTGGTGCCCAGTACCAGGAGAGGCCACTCCACACAGACCTCTGGGGCCAGGCACCATGGTGGCAGTTACAGGCTTGTTCCTCCTTTCCCTTGGTGCCACTTCCAAAGTGGACCTGACAGCCACGTCCACTGTTTAGGTGGACTGGGTGAAGTAGCCTGGTAGGGAACAAAGAACCTAACTACACTAACCCGCATCCAAACTGACCCAGCCGCACTGCTAAAACTGCCCCGTATTCCTTCCCAGATGTAGCCAGGACTCAGGGAGTGTGCCAAGTCAACTCAGCTCTGTCCCTACAGCAACCAGGAGACCTGCGGCAGCTCACAGATACTAAAGGTAGGAATGAGGGACTCAGAAACCTTTTAAAATTAGGTTATGGGGATTCCAAAGCATGCTTTGGGGTTTTTTTATAGCTCAAATAGCCACTAGCTCATTCTCCAAACTCACTCTTTCCTACCTTCTTTCCTTTCCTCCCTCTTTCTCCCTTATTTTTTAATGCTGGTACTGGGGCTTGAACTCAGAGCCAGGGCACTGTCCTTAGCTTTTTTGCTCAAGGCTGGTGCTCTGCCACTTGAGCAACAGCTCCACTTCTGGCTTTTGGGTGGTTATTGGAGGTGAGAGTTGCATGAACTTTTCTGCCCCTGGCTAGCTTTGAACTGTGCATGATCCTCAGATCTCAGCCTCCTAAGAAGCTAGGATTGCAGGTGTGAGCCACCAGTGCCTGGTGCCTAGCTCAAGAATGCCTTTATGGAAGATGGGCAGAAACAAAGATGTTCGGAAAGGCAGGAGAAGGAAACCTAAGCTCTTCCTCCCCACAAGAGAATCAAACTCCAACGTGCAGGCAGGATCTAGGAAACAGCACTACTGACCTAGTTCCTTGGGCTTTTTCCCGATCGATCCCCACACTGGTTCAAGGAAGTCCTTGGGGTCAGGCTTACAAAATGTTATCGCACTGAGGCACTGCTTCATCAGCCCAACAGAACTCTCCAGAGTTACAAAAGATCTTACATACAAACCCCACCCTCCGCTCAACCTGCTAAGGGCAATCAGCCAGGGCCCTGCAGTGCAGACTCCCAGAGTGGCCTTCTGCCACCAGGGCCTCTACCAGGCACAATGTGTTCGTACAACGCAAACAGGGAAGTGAATTGCTGATTTAAGTTTGTGTGTGTATGTATCAGTACTGAGGCTTGAACTTGGCGTCTTTTTTTGAGCCAGTCCTGGGGCTTGAACTCAAGGCCTAGGTACTACCCCTGAGCTTTTTCACTCCAGGCTGCAACTCTAGCACTGGAGCTATAGCTGCACTTCCAATTTTTTTTCTGGTGGTTCACTGGAGATAAAGTTTCACAGACTTTCCTGCCCAGGTTGGCTTCGATCCTCAGATCTCAGCCTCCTGGGATGACAGGCATGAGCCACTGGCACATGGCTCCATTAATTTTAATGGACACGAATAGACAAGTGTAGCTGGTGTGTAAGTTATCAACAATGCAGCCGCATCCTGACTGCTCAGGACGGAGGGTAGGGTGGCTGTCAGGATCTCCTGACACCCCAAACCACAGAGCACAGAGCAGAGCACGTGGCCACCTTGGAGGGCAGCCAGGAGGGAACCCGCCCCCCACCCTGACACTCAAGACGCTGCCACTCTGGTTTGGAACAAGTGCAGGCAGAGATGGTTGCTCCTGTCTTTCAAGTTCCTCTGGGAGGAGAACCGGGTCCTATGACAAACACTGCTGCATGTGGAAGGAAGTGTGAGCTTGAGAGGTGGGAGGGCAGACTGGAACAGGAGTCCAATCTTATGAGACTGGGAACATCGCTCAAGTGGCAGAGCTCTTGCCTTGCAAACACAAGGCCCCAAGGTCAAATCCTAGTATTGCCAAAACTGAAATGAACGAACTATGAAAAAGGTGACTGTCCTGCAAAATATGTCCACCCAGGACTGGCCCTGCCAGCCCTCAGTTTACCCAGATCTGCCACGTGACAACAGCTTACTAAGGGACTGTGAGCAGAACTGACGTGTGAGTATGGCCCAGCAGTGTTAAGAAGTAGATGGGCCTTTCTCACACTTGCTTGTGTGTGTACTAGTACTGGGACTTGAACTCAGGACCTCATGCTCTTGCTTGGCTTCTCCACTCAAGGCTGGTTCTCTACTACTTGAGCTATAGCTTCACTTCCACCTTTTTTGCTGGTTAACTAGAGATAAGAGTCTCATGGATTTGTCCACTTGAGCTGGCTTTGAATGGCAATCCTCAGATCTCAGTCTCCAAAATTGCTGAGATGACAAAAGTGAGCCACTGGTACTGGGCTAATAAGACTTTCAAAGAGATGCTGTGACAAGGAAAGTAGAGGCTGGAATGCAAGATACTGTAAGGGCCAGAGTGAAGAAGAAAAAGGAAGATGGAAGTAGATGGTGACCCTGCTCATTTGCTGATACAGAAGCAAGAAAAAAACTGGGGGGGAGTTACACACTGAGGTAGCCAGGGAGGCTCTCCACTTACCTGGGTGAGCGCGGTGACCTTGCTCCCCATGTCTGGGAGAATGGGGGGCTCATCCCCCACCTGAAAGTCGAAGTAGACGGTCTTGTGGGAGAAGGTGGAAAACTCATTACTGAAGCAAAACTGATAAACGCCCTTGATCTCGGTCCGGTATGTGAAGCTGTCGTACTGTTTCTTGGTCTCCCGGTAGAGAATGTTCCCTGCAGGGTCCTCCACGTAGCAATCCACATCGTAGTGGCCTCCAGTGATGACCTACGAGGGAACACACAGAATGTCTTGTCACCACAGGCAATGACATGGGCAACACGCTCAGCACGCAACAAGCTCAGCAGACGCCATGGCCTGACTCCCTAATACTCCTGCCCTGCAAGCTTCTATAACCTCCAGGGCAGGGATACTGTCCACTTCGCTGGGCCTGAGTAGAGTCCAGACCACAGCCACCCTGTGTGAAAGTGCCAGGGCTGAGATTTGAGTCTCTATGGGCTTGACTCCAGTTTTCATACACAGGAGTACAGCAACCCTAACCTGCCCCATTTTATAGCAGCGGAAATTGAGGTACCAGAGTTAAGAAAGTTGCCTAAGACAGTGAGGCCGACTTCACCTGAGGGTTGTTAGCTCCATTTTGCAAATAACTGGTTGCTCCGGGCTTGCTGAATGGGTCATGACATTTAGTAAGGTTGGCAATCACTAGACACAAAAATGGCAGCATTCAGTAAAATTAGCAATGACTGGATACAAAAATAGTAGCACTTAGTAAAGTTAGCAATGATTGGATGCAAAAATAGTAGCAGTAAAGTCAGCAGTGATTATATTCAAAAGGAGGCACATATATATTGAGGTACTAGGAAGTAGCACTGTGGCTCAAGTGGTAGAGCACTTGCCTTGAGCTGAAGAGCTCAGGGTCAGCACCCAGACCCAGAGTTCAAGCACCATAACCGACCAAAACAAAAAAAAAGGTACTCATAGGGATTGATCAGGAATCATTCAGCCCCAACTCTAACAAGGAAAGTTAGATGACAGAGGGTAAAATCACACCTGTAGCCAATGCCTGTGACCATGAGCAAGTCAATGAAAGGACTAAAGGATACAGTTGTTGGGTACCAGTGGCTCACACTGGCAATCCTACCTACTCAAAAGAGGCTGAGAGGTGAGGATCTCGGTTTAAAAACAGCCCCAACAGGAAAGTCCATGAGACTCTCATCTCCAATTAACCAATACAAAAACAGAAGTGGAGTTGGGGTTCGAGTGGTAAAGCCATCCTTGAACAGAGAAGCTAAGGGACAGCATCCAAGTCCTGAGTGAAAAGCCTCAGTATGTGTATACCAGAGAGAGAGACAGACAGACAGACAGACAGACAGAGACAGAGACAGAGAGAGAGTGTTAATGCAGTTAACTGCTTCCAAACTTTGTGGAAAGCAGCAGGCATCTTGCTTGCTGCTGGGATGTTTAAAGCCGCAGTGGACAGCCCTGGCACAGGATGGTGGCAGTAACCACTGCCTCTCAGACCCTCCAACCACATAATTATCACTGTTTCCTTACGGTGTTTCAGTTACCTGTGTTAATGCAGACACATGCACAATCTCCATGCTGTCCACACAGATCACAAACCTGTATCTCTATTTCCCACGAAGCTGTTTCTGGGCACAAGCCTCTTTCTGCACCTCTAATGATGGAGGGGCCCATTCAGACAAGGCGTTCCAATGGCCCTCCAACCCCAGATCTGCCTGCTAAACCTCACCCCTGGGGATGGGACCCACCCCAGACCTGAGTGCTGCTCCCAGCAACTGTGAGCCATGGGCACTGACCACGGAGAGGTTAGACGGAAGGCCAGGAGCTGGCTTTAGTGCACCATATGGCAAAAATCAAGTCTCACGGAAGCAGAGCTGTGGCTTGAGTGGTAGCTAACCTGAAGCACAAAACCTCAGGGACAGCGCCCAGGCCCGAGTTCAAGCTGCAGGACCACCAAAAAAGAAACCCAAGTGTTTTCAGCACACCACCTGGGGGGCGGGTGGCCGGGTCTCAACAGACTGCACCGCCATCGAGAGCGCCTTTTCCACCCCAAATCCCACTCAAAACGTGGGGTTTGTAAAAGGAGGGGCGGGGAGCAGCCGCAGTGGGAGCCCCTGCGGGGCAGACAGGCCGGGAGCTGGGTCCTGGGGGGGGGGGGGTCGCGGCCCTGAGGCGCTGCCCCGGGGGGGGGGGAAGACAGGGGGGCGGAGGGGAGCCCCGGGAGGGGGGAGGGCAGGGGGCGGAGGGGAGCCCCGGGAGGGGGGAGGACAGGGGGGCGGAGGGGAGCCCCGGGAGGGGGGAGGACAGGGGGGCGGAGGGGAGCCGGGAGGGGGGAGGGCAGGGGGCGGAGGGGAGCCCCGGGAGGGGGGAGGGCAGGGGGCGGAGGGGAGCCGGGAGGGGGGAGGGCAGGAGGCGGAGGGGAGCCGGGAGGGGGGAGGGCAGGAGGCGGAGGGGAGCCGGGAGGGGGGAGGGCAGGGGGCGGAGGGGAGCCGGGAGGGGGGAGGGCAGGGGGCGGAGGGGAGCCCCGGGAGGGCCGGGCCGGGGAGGGGAGCCCCGGGAGGGCAGGGGGCGGAGGGGAGCCCCGGGAGGGCCGGGCAGCCCCGGGAGGGCCGGGCCGGGGAGGGGAGCCCCGGGAGGGGGGAGGGCAGGGGGCGGAGGGGAGCCCCGGGAGGGCCGGGCCGGGCCGGGGAGCCCCGGGAGGGCCGGGCCGGGGAGGGGTCCCCCCGGAGCCCCGGGTCGCACCTGGTAGTCCAGGGAGAGCTTCACGCCCTGGTCCACCTCCTCGTGGAAGCACTGCTTGGCGTTGTCGGGAAGCTCGAAGGTGAGCTCGGCGCCCCACGCCTGCCGGGCGCACAGCACGAGCGCCAGCAGCAGGAGCGCGGCGGAGCGCGGGGCGGCGCGGCCTGGGAGGCGCCCCATGCCGTCGGCCGGGCCCGGAGCGCGGCGGGGACCACAGACGGACGTGGCGCGGGCCCGGCTCGCCGCTTCCGGGAGGCTGGGCGCGCCCAGTGCGCAGGCGCGCGCATGGATAGGCGGGGGATGGGGGGGAACGGGCCGGCGCCTTTCCGCCCACTGCGCAGGCGCCGCGCTCCGCTCCTCCCCGCCCGCGGGCTGAGCCCTCCCCGCGTCGGCCCGAAGCCCGTGTCGGGCCCGGCCCGCACCGGCGCCGCACCGGCGCTCCGGGCCCGCTGCCGTCGCTCGCGGCCTGGCGTGGGTGACGCCGGGCTTCGAGGTGGAGCGGGAGGCGGCGGGTCTCGCGGGCAAGTCCCGGGAGACCGAGACCCGGGTGGGGACGCGGGGACCGCCGCCAGCACTGTGCCGCACGCCGGGCCTTTCGAGCCCGGGTCACCTGGGACGGGGTGACCTGGAGGGCGGGCGGAAGGGGGGGAGGGAGGGAGGGGGGAGCAGGGTGGGAGAGAGGGCGGGGGGGGGGAGGGAGGGCGGGAGGGGAGAGGGAAGGAGGGCGTGGGGGAGAGGGGAGAGGAGGGGGGAGGGGGGAGGGAAGGAAGGTGGGGGGAGAGGAGGAGGGAGGGGGAACGAGGGAGGGGGGAGGGGGGAGGGAGGGGGGAGCAGGGTGGGAGAGAGGGCGGGAGGGGGAGGGAGGGGGAAGGAGGACGGGAGGGGGGAGGGAGGGGGAAGGAGGACGGGAGGGGGAGGGAGGGAGGGGGGAGCAGGGTGGGAGAGAGGGCGGGAGGGGGGGAGGGAGGGAGGGGGGAGCAGGGTGGGAGAGAGGGGGGAGGGGGAGGGAGGGGGAAGGGGACGGGAGGGGGAGGGAGGGAGGGGGGAGCAGGGTGGGAGAGAGGGCGGGAGGGGGGGAGGAAGGGAGGGGGGAGCAGGGTGGGAGAGAGGACGGGAGGGGGGAGGGAGGGCGGGAGGGGAGAGGGAAGGAGGGCGTGGGGGAGAGGGGAGAGGAGGAGGGAGGGGGGAACGAGGGAGGGGGGAGGGAAGGAAGGTGGGGGGAGAGGAGGAGGGAGGGGGAACAAGGGAGGGGGGAGGGAAGGAGGGCGGGCGGGAGGGGGGAGGGAGGGGGGAGGGGGAAGGAGGGCCGGCGGGAGGGGGGGAGCAGGGGTGACGTCCATTGAGACGCACTGAACTCACAACCTGACTTGTTGAGCCGAAACCCCTTTGAATTTAAAGGTAATTTTTTAAGGAATTTAAGTGTGATGCCTCGTGGTTACACCTGCCCGGGAAAAGTAAACATTGCTCAGGTTCACACCCACATGGTCTCCCGATAAATGTAAATAAAGTTTAAAGTTTCTCCGTAGTTTCAGGTCTGTTTCTGCAGTCAAGGCAGAATGAAAATTCTTTCTGGCCAAAACTCCTGTTGCAGGCGATGGTGCTCACGCCTGTCATCTAGCTGCTCCGGAGGCTGAGATCGAAGGATCGCCATTCAGTGCCAACCAGAGCAGGAAAGTGTGAGGCTTCACCACCAAAAAGCTGGAAGTACAGCTGTGGCTCATGTGGTAGAGGGTTAGCCTTAAGCACAAAGCTCAGGCACAGAGTTCAGGCCCCAGGACCAGCACAAAAAACACTATTCTCTTCTTTTTTTTTCTTTTAATGGATGAGAGGAATCTCTGACTTCTCAAGGCCACTGGCCTAGCATATGTCTGTGTGTGTCTGTGTGTATCTGTTCTAGAATTTGAACTCAGGGTCGTGAGCTCCGCTTGCCTTTTTTCACTCAAGACTAGAGGTCTACCACTTGAGCCATAGCTCCACTTCCAGAAAAAAAAATTTAATGTAATTATAACAATAGGGGTGGTTTATTGTTGTTTGTCAGTCATGGGGTTTGAACTGGTGGCCTGGCATTTGTCCCTGAGCTTTTCTGCTCAAGGCTAGTGCTCTATCACTTTGAGCCACAGCTCCATTTCCATTTTTCTGGTGACTTACGGATTTTCCTGCCCAGTCAGCCTTTGAACCGTGATCCTCAAATCTCAACCTCCTGAGTAGCTAGGATGACAGGCATGAGCCACAGATGCCCAGCTATAACTATAGGGTTTTATGTTCTTTGTAAACTCATAAAGAGAGAAGACACATTGTGATATTACTACTCAAAAAAGATAAGTTTTTCCCCCCCATTACAGCTATATGACTAGATGTGGTTACTCTTGATTTCATTGAGGACTTTTACTCTCCATATATGTTTCCACGTGGATAACATGGAAGTGCACTACCCCTCTGGGCACTTGGGATCCAGATCAAAGACCTACCATACCTGAGTGCAAGTTGCAGGCTGGAAAACACCATGAACCACAGTTATAAATCACACATGCCAGTCCTGTGCTGGACATGGAAAGGGGTTCGTGGCATGTCCTGCAGATCCTTCCCTGTCTCTGACCTATGTAATGTTCTTTTTAGAAAATGGAAGTGATAATCATCTAATCTAGATGAATCCAATTACAAACCAAAAATCAACCCAGGTGTTAAGCCCAAGGTATCTTGACCAGCTAGAGTGCTCATCCAGGCTAAATAAAGCCCTACATTTAAGTTCTAAGGAAATACCTTAGTTCAGAGTCAGGAGCCTGCCTTCCCAGCAGATCTGAACAAGTAGAGTTACAATCACAAGCAAGCCAAGTGGAAGACAAGGGAAATGTCTGTATTAAAAAATAAATAAATAAGACGGGAGCCCTGACTACACAGGTGAATAAAAGAAACACTGTCATTTTGCCATTTGTTGTATGGAAGATACCATTACAGGGAGTAAATATCCCACTTAACAGGCAATGGTTGGATGACATCTATTGTGCTAATTTTTGCATAACAGCCATCCTAACTGTAGTGCGGATCCTACTTACCCAGCTCCTATATTTTATAGGAATGAATCTTTACTAGCTACTATCCACACATCCACCCCAAAAAATGCTTTTGAGAAAGGAAGAAAGAAGCTGAGAAACTTTAGTGAAATCACAACTCAGTCTCAGCTTTTTCTGGGCTTCAATTAGTTGAAATCAGAAAGTTCTACTTTCTTGTGGTTTTGTGGTGGTGGCAGAGAAGTTTAGCTTTCAGAAGTTCAGGATTTTCCTGGCTTTACCTGTGCAGTTGTGTTTGAAGTATCCCAACTTCCTGGGGCCAGTGGGACTCGAACCCATGATTGGTGAAAGGAGTCACCAACGCTCAATCAGGCTAGGAATCTTTATTAGCCAGGCAACTGCCCTTCCCTACCAAGACAGTGAAGAACATAATAAAGTCAAATAGCTCAGGGTATTGAAAGTCAAGATCCATGGGGGAGGAAGGAGCACTCCCAGGTGGTCAAAGGTAGTTCAGTGACTAGCAAAGTAGCAAGTTACAGAAGCAGAGCTAGCAGTTAGTGATTACAAAATGGCTATTATAATTCCAGTCATTCCCAATAACCAAGATCCTAAGTCACAAGGCAAAGTTCTTATCCCAAATCTTCCCATCAAAGAAGCAAGTTAGTGAAGCAATGGCAGTCTCAATAAGCAAAGTAATAAGTCCTCCAAGCTAAAACCACATTCCAAATTTCTTACTTATTACACCCCCAAATCAAACCACCTTCCAGGTTTTCTGGCTCTTGAGTTTCACTGTTAAACACTGTTCAGTGTTTAACTCATCAATTTACTTCAAGCCTTTATGTTGGAATTTTTCCTTTCAATGACTAGCCTGGGAAGGAATGTTAGAAAGGATGGACGTAAAAGTGGATCTGACACTGAAGGAAAGCAGAAATCTCAATGGCTGTCTAAAAGAAAGAAAAGGGGGGAAAACTGGCCTGTTCAGAGACTGAAAATGGCCAACATTAGCAGAGGAGACCTGGCTGGCTCTTTGCCCAGCATCCTAGGGCTAGAGGTTCTTCTCTTTCTTCCTTCTTTCCTTCCTTCCTTTCTTCTCCTCTCCCTCTCTTCCTCTTTCCTTCTTTCCTCTCGTTCCCCTCTCCTTCCCTCTCTCAACTCTCTCTCTCCCTTCTTCCCTCTCCTCTCTCTCTCTCTCTCATCAGTTGTGGGGCTTGAACCATGATCCTCAGATCTCAGCCTCATGAGTAGCTAGGATGACAGGCAGGAGCTTCCAAAGCCTGGCTTTTCTCTCTTTTCTTTTTTTCCTCCCTCCTCCTCATTCTAGCGAGAGCCACCACCCCTCCCTGCCCCCCAGCCTGAACAGAGCAGTCCACAGAGGGCAGGAGCACAGAGGAGGCTCCCTACCTTCTGTCCAGGACAGGGCAGCTGTGGCTGGGGCCGCCTGTGGACCCCTCATCCAGCCCAATCCAGAGCGGAGACCTGGACGCATAGCTCCTGGGGAGGGGCTCAGCTAGGGGGGCAGAGGAAGGAGCCACGCTAGCTTCTGATGGGTGAGAACACCTGCACAGAAGGGTGACAGAATGACCCCTCCAGGACAAAAGATGGGGTGATTCCTCCCAAGGATGAAAGGTGGGGTGACCGCCCCCCCCAGGATGAAAGACCCGGTGTGGGACACAGCTGCTGGCAACCCCAGAACAACCCAGAGTATGCAGACAGCAGCCCATTAGAGGAACTCAACACAGAGGAAAATTCCTAGCCCTGGATGGATGACGCAAGAGAGACAGACAGACACAGAGAGACCCTGCATCTGCACTGTGGCTTCTTCCTTCATCCCTCTTACTCCATCCAGGCCATCATCTATGGGATGGTGACCCCTGCTTTCAGAACCCATCTCCCCACTCTGAAATGCCTTCACAGCCACTCACGGGCCAGGCGAGTGCTACTCATCCAGTCAAGCGGACAGTCAAGGAATCACAGATGCTCCCTGACAGCCTTGGTTGAGGCCCAGCCTCTAGGTGCACTGAGAGAGAGAGAGAGAAAGAAAGTTCTATTCAAGAAACAAACTTCAGATCCTCCTGCCAGTCGCCTCTGTGGTCAGCCCTTCAGTCTTGCCCTACCTCCTCCTCGTCCCCCACCCCCCCCACCTTCTTCTCCTCCCAAACCACCACCCACAATCTCTCCTCCAAAAAGCTGG